GCCGTTTGGATTAGTTAGGTTAGCTTGGTTTAGATCAGGTAAGGTTAGATTAGGTTGACTAGGTCACCGGGGGTGACAGGAAACAGGTCAGCCTGGCTAGTGGTGATGCGGAATCGTCTCGACACAAGAAGATATTGAAGCCACCCTCGCCCTCTCCCTGAATCATCTCAAATCTCGCATACACGCCGCACAACGAGAAGAATTCGACGAAAGTTGGACACACCTGAAACAACGGGGTAGCGTCACACTATGCCACTATGACGCTGTAACCGGTGACAACCGCCACTACAAAGAGTATCAATCCCTGACTCGATCTCAACAGATTATGTAAATGAGACTGCACCTAGGGTACAGGTGCCTGTGGGACTGGGAGTACATTGGCAACCCTGAGCCTGGTCGTACTGTTAAACTTTGTGGCCAACCCGACTCTCACACCCTCTCTCACTACATCTTCACTTGCTCATGACCTCCTCCTACAGGTCCCCAGCCGTTACCAACACCTCTTCCCTCCCTGACCAGATATCCCTCCTCCCAGTGACAGGCCTGGCACTTGACATTATTAGGGACCTGCCACGCTTTGCCATAAACAGAAGAAATGTACCGGGAACTTTCCCCCCACACACTCATCATTCGTCACTTTATGTAACTTGCTGACAAAACCTATGACCCTTCAGGCTTTTACGCCCTTAATGCATGAGTCATAAAGGCAAGCATGAACTTAGCATGCTTCTCAGATGGGCGCTGTAAACGCTTCTGCGCTTCACCTTGCATAGAATGTAAGGGGGGTGCCCAATAAACTAGCTCCCTCGGGGGCAATCTAAAAAATCGTCTCGACGGGGACCTTATCCTCCCCATGAACCTGTTCTTGCTACTGACCGCGGTGCTGAGTGTTGTTTTCTTACCACATCATATTAATTTATACAGTGTGTCAAGTGCAGTTATTTCTGATAGACATGTTCAAAATGTGGTGTAAATTATCCTTGCTGAGATCAGATGGTACTGTAATATAATGGATAATATTGTTCTATACTGTATATACAGTATACAATATATTATTGGTGGTATTTTGCACATTATTTGATATATACCATAATTGTTTTAGTAAAATTAATAACAGCAAAATCAGTAATGATAACTGTAGTAATATCATGTGTTTATAGTTATAGTGCTGGTTTCCTAGTCACTATGTTAACTGGTAATGGTATCCTATTGTTATGGTACTGGCCTAGTCTGTATTATCACATAAAAACACTTTCCCTATGAAACTGCATGCTAAGATAGAGAGAGAAAGCACCAATGTATGAGAACAGCAACACTGGTATTTATTTAGTAACGTTTCAGCAATAATTCCTGTCATCATTTGATCTAAAACATGAAGTAACATAAACATAAAAAATTCAAAATGATAAATAAAATTTAATACAGCATTGGGTACATAAAAAGCTTTACCCCCAAAAAATAAACTCTGAATTGCAAAATACTGAATCTTTAACCCTTTCATAGTCTATAGATGCAAATTGCATCGCTAAGTGTCCTCTTGCTCAACAGTATCTCACACTGAGAACACCCCTCCCATAAGCAGAAATGCTGCAATAGTGGACTGGCCCTCTCAACCACCTAAGTTTCTCCCACTAGCCTCATGGGCTGCCAGATGCGTCTCTAAGGGTGCAATTTGGGTCTGGATCACTCTACCCAATGTTTATCAAAATAGAAAAAACGTTCCCGTTACTGATGAAACCTGCGTCAAAAGACTGCAAAAGGGTGAGATTTCCGACCATGGCCAGGAGTACCAGAGGGTTAATTGCTAGCATTTACACTTTCCAATAAAAAACGAAAATGCGAGTAACAGAAGCCTAGAACCTAATACAGAGAGAAGCAAGTAGGTTACATACCATCAAGAACATTACTGTACAGTACTTACTACTTGAAACAAAGTAAAAAAGTAGAGCAGTTGTGGATACCCAGTGATGAGCAACTCCACTGTGGAATGTGTCATGTCATCAGGGCATGAGGTAAGGATGGTAAAATCTACCTTATTTATAGGGTGATTGCATGTCTGGCTATTGTCTTTGATTGGTGAATAGGGTGGTTTTGACAATAGTTGGCTTGTTCTGAATGAGCGACCCATTTTCTTTCCATTTTTATACCAAGTTTTAGACTACAGTATAGTTCGCGTAAAACGAGAAACGCGTAAACGAAATAGCAGAACATATGGGATTAATTAAAATAGAGACTGGGCCGACCCCGAAACTCCACTTTTTCCGACACAATATGTACGTTGTAGTAAAAATAGTATCTTAATTTTATGATGGTATGCACGCACACATAATATAGAAGAGAAATATCAATAAGAGAATAATATACTGTACCAGGTAAAAGAAAAATCAAGGTTTAACACTTACGTTAGTAGAAGAGATGGGTCGGCATACGGGGATGGGGGCTGGTTCCGAGGCAGAGGGCAGATTAGTGGCCCTCAGGTGAATCTCTATCCACCACAGATGTCAGGGCCTCCCTGACAAACCCCTCAAAGTCACCATCACTGTCACTCTTACTGACTTGGGCTGGCTGTGGTGGGTTGCGGGCGAAGAAGTCGGTAATGTTACGCTGACGGCTAGCGTTGATGTGGTCGTGATACATCTTGATATACGGCTCCATAGTTTGGTCTAGATGGTTATTGGAGACTTCATATCGGTGATTGACAGGGTCTTTGGAAAGGATGAGCTTGAGTTTCTCGGCAAACTCGATGGCATCCTTTACATCACCATGTGTAAACTTCTGTTCTCGTGCTGCCGCACCACCTGCCTCCTCACTGACGTCATCGTCTTCCAACACCTTGTCGGCAGTCACCTCAGGATCCCTGATTACCTCCATGATGTCGTCGTTGGTGGTCTCAGAGAAGCCTGCACCTGCAACACTCTGTGTAGCTTCTCTTGCAAGGTCCACTGCCACTTCAACAGACTGGGCCTCGCCAGCCACAAGTTGCCTCTGCCTCCCACCTGGGATACCTTGCAACACATACCGCCACGCGTGACGAATCGTTGCCACAGACAGCTGCCCCCATGCCTTCACCAAGAAATCAACAGCTTTCTTGACGTTAAACATTTTCCAAAACTGTTTAACTCGCACTTCAAGCTCCGCCAACTCTTCTTCTGGATCCTCGTCCACGCTCTCGCTATCTGTGCCACTCAGAAAGTTCTGCAACTCATCCTTGGTGTTGGTGTAGTCGTTCAGGAGCTTAAACTTCTTTGCGGAGAATGCAGCCTTCAAGTTGCATGTCAACTCCTGGTCCATGGGCTGGATTAACGACGTAGTGTTGGGAGGAAGGAAGACCACTTTTACACTGGGGTGACGATCCAACAGTAGGGGTGAGTGTCCTGGTGCGTTGTCAAGGAGCAACAAAATGTTAAATGGAACATTATGTTGCTCGCAGAATTTCTTAATGTCGGGAACGAAAGTCGTCAAACCAGGAGAGGGACAGACCAGTGTACATCCACGCCTTACGTGCGGTTAGCCAGTGGACATTTAGCTTGGTCATGTCCATGTTCTTGTAGGCGTGCGGCTTGTGGGCTGTGTGGATCACCGACAACTTGAGCTTACAAGTGCCGGAGGCATTGGTGGTGAACAGGACGGTGATGCGCTCCTTCTGCAACTTCCGGCCCCGACACTTGCTGGCAGACTTGACAACGAAGGTCTTGGAAGGTAATTTCTTCCAAAACAGCCCAGATTCATCCATGTTGAACACCTGGTCGTCGGTGTACTGTCCTTCCTCCATAATGTCTCGTAAGAATGGAGGAAAATCCATGGCGGCAGCACGGTCAGCACTGGCTCCTTCACCAACAATGTTAATATTGGTTATCTTGTTGCATTTCTTAAACCCTTGCAGCCACCCAGAGGAAGCAGTGAAGGGTTTTGGCTCTGCAATTCCCATCTTGCGCGCCACTGATTTGTAGAGTTCATGGGCGTAGTCCTGCACTGCCCGCGTGTCGACCACCATGTTACTTCTTGCTTGACTAATCAAGTAGCTCACCAGTAAATTCTCAGTCTTGAGCAGCACCTTATTCTGACAATACTTCACCATTGAAGCACCTGCAGACTTTGTGATGCTCATGTGTTCTTTTATCTTGGCAGCATCCTTCTTGATTGTACGAATCGTAGATTCGTTAACTCCATGCTGGCACGCGAGATCAACTTGTCGGGTTCCCTTTTCTAATTCCTGGATGATTTTGTATTTTCCTTCGTAACTTAGGGCGCGTCGTATCTTCTTGGGCTTGGTCCAGGTAATTCAAGGTTTTTCTGGGGTGGTGGGGATCCAGCGGAAGCCATTGTTGAACAGATTAGCGGGCACAAGAGAGAACAGTATATGCGGAGACTGAGAACAATGAGACTGGCCCGGCTAGGTCAGTGGCTTCTTCCCTCACGTCATATTACATTAGACCAATCACAGCTAGCGGCGGAGGGAGGTAAGGATGTGTGACCCAATCACAGTCCGATACGTCATATGACGTCAGCGATAACGTAACAGCGACATACTGCGCACCCACCTTGCGCCGCTTCCCGTGTATGGTCAAGAATGTACCACGTGAATAATAATTGGCACGGCGCGTCTGGATCTCTTGCCGCGTAAATGATGCAATGAACCGCGTAATTAAAAATTTTCATTCTGGCAAGGTGCCGCGTAAATGACCAAACGCGTAAACCAAATCCACGTAAATCAAGACTATACTGTATTCAAGCCCTTTGATTGACTTGGCTGCTGAACTTGACATTTTGAAATTTATGATTGTCATTGATTCCTACTCAAGTATGAGTATTTTTTCCTTTATATTCTAAATACTGTACTGTAAACTTGTAGGCTTCTCTCAAGGTCAGTGTTGTAGTGAGGAAGTGTTAAGAAATTAATTATTTGAAGCCTTTGGATTCTAGAAAACAACAATGGAGCCAATAAAAGTTATGAATAAATGGCCATACTTACACTGAGAGGAAAATTAAAAACAAGAAAATGAAATGGCGGGACTTTATATTCTCTACACTTTCAGTACATGCATATTGGGTATCATCATAATCAACAGTAACTTTTATCGTATTTACAAGGCCTACGGATTGACGACACCTCATAATTTTCCAGTAATTGATAAGACACAGAGTGAGGGAGATTGAGCAGGACAATGTTATGAATAAAGTCAATGTTTTGCTTCTGACAGATCTGTTTCTGGAGTTACCTGACAGCACTGTCATATGTAAAGTAATAAAGATAAGCTGCATAATCAGCATCATATCCCATAGACTGATTATATATAAATTATATCAAAATACATAAACTAACATATGAAACTTTTTAATCACTTGAACACCCACATTCTGATTTTTCAAGTATATAGTTTACTTCTGGAAATTATTTTTATTGCCCTGCCCGAGCATCCTCAGATGACACAATACAAGGTGCATAAATAGTGGAAAGAACTGTAAACAAAATTTAGCATCAGATACAAGATGATAAGGAGCAATGTGTCCACTACATGAGTAGTAATAAATAAAGACTCAAGTTTAATGATCACGAAGAACCTAGAGAAACTGTTTTGATGTTAAATGTAATAAATTACTGGATGGATACAAAAAGGAAACTGCAGAAAAAAATCTCAAGTTTCCTCAATGGACAATGTAGGCTTCCGTTTTAACCAACCACTCTTTGAGTATGATAAATATATTTTTAACTGAGAATCACAAGACGGAAAGAATAAATAATAAAAAAATCATGCGGGTATAAAATTTTCAATATACTTTCCACTCTACATGACTGGTAATATGTGCAAGAAGAGAACTGAGAGGGACAAGACACACTGTGATATAAATGTACAGTCCTGGTCAGAAAAATGTCCAGCATCCAAACAACCCAAATCTAAATGGAAATTTAAAGAAATTTTTCATTTATTTTTACTTTTGGTTTTATGGACAATAAGCATAAATTTTGACATGAGAGTGCCAATTTGAACATGAATCTGGAAGTGTTATGTGGGTTCAAGTTACATCTTCTGAACCCAATACAAATTATGACTTAATGATATCAGGAATGCAAAAGTTTACTATTTATATCATGATGGATCACTGTGGTGTTGACTCTCTCTCTCACAGCAACATCCCTGATGTTAAATGTACCAGAGTGTAAGTGGGCGACAGATACATTTTAATTCCACTCAAGGTCTGCTCTCGTGTGATGCTGCTATATCTCCTAAAAGTACACATAACAAACTTCTAAAATTCCTTCTACAGGTTTGGTGTAAAATCTATTGGAAAATAAATATATTTAAAATCAGAGTTGATATAAAAGCAAAATCTTTTATATAGGAAGATCAACATGAGAACAGTCTTTGTGGTTATTTCATTACAATTCAAGAGAAAGCCTATTGCTGTGGAATGAGACCAACACAGAATAACAACAGGTAGGAAATCCTAGCATTGAAGAAATTTAGATGGATTTTGAAAATATAAGGTAAGAATAGTGTATTAGATATCAGATTTTGCCAAAACACTCACCAAGCACCTGTGGTTGAACTAATAACAAGTTAAATGTAGAACTCAAAATATGTCAAACCATAGCTGACTGGAGTGTGTCTTGATGAAAAATTGTTATACAATCATCCTCAAAATTTTCAAATACCACCTCTACACTATAGGTCTACATTCTTTAAATGACAAACATGTTATATGGACAACTCTGCAGTCTCAATTCCCAACAGCCCCTTCATATTTCCTCAACTGTACCTTCCTAGCCATAACAATTTTCAAATATTAACAATGATTAGAATGGATCTAATTCTAGATACAGTATTTATAAACAGAAGTTTTCTTCTAAATTTTCGAGTACGTAAGATATATTAACAATCAAATACGTATCTCATTTTTAGATGTACATATACAATATATATATCATCTAATGAGGAAGATAAATAGATTAGGCTCCACAAGTTAGCACGAGATGTATGTAAACTATCAGGGTGTTGAGCATGCCAACATAAACATTATACTGTATTTACTATCAACACCAAGACTCTTTATCTTCCACAAACCACAGCTGTGAGATGAGATGCACAAACATCCTTACAATGTATCAGTTCCAGTTTGTACATGGACATGCAAATCACGTACACAGAAAAGACGCACAAGATGAATGACTCTTTAATGCATATAAATGAAAATGATACTCTACAGATATCCACTGAAAATAATACTTATTGAAACATGAAATGAAACTTAATAAAGAAAATTTATGTAACCATAGAACATTTTCAGTAGTTAATAAATATCTAATACTTCTCTTCACATCTAGAAACTTTGACTTCTTAACAGTAACTTCCACAACTCATTTCTCAAAGTACTTATTGGTCTTGGTGCTCTAAAAATAAAAATATACACCAGTTCTAGATCATTTCCTACCCAACTTTATTATAAACATTTATCACTATTCAGTAACTGCAATTCCATTAAAATAATACTTTAAACCAAGTGCTAGAACTAATAAGTGGTCTTACTATAACAATCATCATTCAAGGATATATTTCACTAAGAATCCCCATGATGTTCAAAAACATGGTAAGTGTATTAATAAAAAGCCAATGTACTGTAGAACCAGCTCCATGTTGCCAAAATTTTATGATTCAGAAAAAAATTACAGTGTATCACCTAACACAAAGGGTCTGGAAAATAACTTCAGCACGCTACAGCTAAATAAATATTGGTAATGGAAATCCATCCACATTACAGTACATGAAAATATTAATTCAAGCAATAAATAATATCTGAAAAAATATTCTACTGTACATACAACACTACTCATCTATTTTAATTACAATTAGTAAACCTCATAAAGGAAAAATACAGAATAAAATAAGTTTATAAAACAAAAAACTCTAATTGGCACTGTTAAACTTAAATTTTATATGCTGATAGTGCAAAATAAATCAAATGCACTGTACAAAAAATACACTATACTAATCTTTCCATTTCATAGAGGCACTGGAACAATACACTATTTCCCTTGAAACATGAAGGACAAGGAAAAAAGAATTCCTCTGATGCTAGTTGCCTTTATGTGTACTGTACTGTAATCTCATAAATATAATAATATAAAAAATGCTTTCTGTTTCAGACTGAACACCGATGAATGATTAAAAGTTTCAAAAAAGTGTTCTGGTGCTGACATTCCTGGACACAGCACAGACAACACAAGTGGAATGTTTCTAAATACTATTTGATCCTTCTCTATGCCTGATTAATTATTTTTGCAATCTTGAGACCCTAAAAACAGCATTAATTACTGACAATGATCAAAATAAGAAAATACAATACCAACCAAGATTTAGAATGACAAAACACAGTAAAACCTTGCTGTTTTGCGCAAGCCTTCCACATACTTGGAAAATAATAAATAATAACCAGACTCTTCAGGACTAGATTTGCTGTTATACACAAACATACTGTACTGCACACTTAGAAATTAAAAATAAACATTACAGTATTAAACATACCCCATTTTGGGACTAGATCTAATTCGGAAGCAGGGTAAAAAGTCTAAGTTTATAAACACTGGATGAAACACCATCACATAAGCTCCTCAGGTCTTTAACCAGTGAAGTTATTGTGAAAAGTAATAGTAGTGGCTAGTACAGCACGGTCACAAAAATTTTAGGGCAAGTTGGTGGAAGGCATACAAGGAATTTTTATCCATTCCCAACTTTAAAGAGATCAGTGATTTATTCCGTAACTCATGAGAATCCCTATGAGTAACCCACAATTTCCTAAAAGTCACACATCCCTGAACAATTAAGAGTACTGAAGAGCAAGATTTTACCATAATAAAAATACACATGAATAAAAACTGAATATTTAGGAGTCTATTTATATAAATTACTTAAACATTTTACATTTTCTATATCATGAAAATCTGAGGTAAATCTGATCTTAAACCTCTAAAAACCATATACCATACACATTATGCCTTCAAGTAAGGATGTAGCATCGTCATCCACGATCTTGACCTTCTATACAGGAGAGTGTGACGGCTCAAGGTTGTGAGCCACTGCTCACTTGCACAGTTACCCTGCTGAGGCTGACTGATCCTTGCTAGTACTGAGCATGACTGGGAGAAGCATTCTGTGACATTCCTGGGAGGGGCAGAGAAAATTATCAAAATTCTCAGAATAATATAAATGATATCTTTCAGCATACAGTAAGCTCATGCCAAGCTGAATATTAAACATAGCACACAGAAGAGTGATACTATATATCAGTAAATGTGAATCAGAGCATTCCAGTGGTAATGAAACAGGAATGATTATACTGTACTGCATAAAATAAAATCTAAGCTTGAAATAGTGGTACAGATAGGACAAAGGACCATTGGCTGAGTATTTCTCTATGACTATCCTCATAATACAGTAAACCCTCATTTTTACATGAAGTTGCACCCCTAAAGCAATCATTTAGCTGAAAATTTTTTAATCCATAAGCAATGGGTAAACAGGTTTAGGTTCCAGGCACCACTGATGCTATCCATTACAGTAATTTTTACCTCCTATATACTGTACTATATTATAGGCCTCATATAGCATAAAGAAAAAAAATCATGAATACTACCACAGAGGAACACAATAAATCACAGAAAAGTAAAGTTGCCTACAATCTCTGCAGATGGCCTAGTGATGATGGTACTTATGGTAAGGTTTAGGTGTTATTAAAAAGGGCCATACTAGTTAACATTTCTCACACCCTGCAGGTGGTGATCATAGCCCCCACCTAACCATTTGCATATTTTTTCTCTGCTTGTCAGTAAATATGTATAGGTGCACATGTACAGTCCCCTTCACTAGTGCATTTACAGGGGCTCGTCTTATAAACATTCCATAGTATGTTTACTATTGCGAGTTCCCTTCTGTCGAATGTAAACAAACATAAGGCTGCAACCCTGCACAAAACATGATGAGCCCCTGTAAACACACTAGTGAAGGGGACTGTACATAACTGCATGCATGTGTAAAAATGTTTATCACTAGATGCCAAATGTTCACCACCACCATGCATGAAGTGACCAGCCCATCACAATATAGCCATCATACTCCATTGTGCCTGCCAAATAACACAATTGCATGCATCAGATCACCATCAACACCAGGCCACCACCAGGCATATTTTCACTACTTGTTTAGTTGCAAAACAACCCATTTGAGCAACAGTATATGATTTCACCTAGCACTTCACTTCACACCTCCTTACTATGTGACTGCCTTGTATATACCTATGCCACAGGCCAAGCAGATATTTGCATTAAGGAATACAGTATCAGAGAAGTGTTTTATGAGGAAAAAAAAGTGGCATACATAGATTTAGAAATAGCATAAACAAGACTGGGAGGCATGATATATGTACAAGATGAAATGGGAACTGCTGAATGCAGTTCAGAGTCTCTTAAGGAGGGTATTTGTTTTAGCAAATGATGAAAGGAAAACTGGTTACTACTGGAAGATGAGTAATGTTGCCATGGCAGTTGAATGCTTTTTTTTTATCTGTTAAAAGGGATGAAAGCAAGAATACTGGAGGAGGATTAGGTAAGTACTGTAAATAGGAAAACAAGGTGTGAATGCGAGGTGAATCAGAAGCTGTTTCCAGTAGATCTTACCCTGGTGGGCAATTCAGAAGAAAAATTACAATGTTAGTAAATGAGTCTGGAACATTGTGTATTAAGAAATATTTAATAGCATATGTGCAGTCATGAAAATAAGTACAGAAGGAAGACAAAGAAAATAATATCAGTTTGAATGAGGCAAAATGGATGCAGTGAGGTGTTTCAGATATCTGGGAGTGATTATATCAATTAATGAACAAATGAACAAGAAAAAAGGAAATAAATGGGGTGGTACTATTAAAAGCAAAGACAGTAAAAAATCTTCTTGAGGCCAAAGAAGTAAAAGAGTGATGGGCAGAGCATGTAGAAGAACTACTGAATACAATGACAAGGATAGATTAGGTAAGGAATGAAAAGGAAATAAAGATTGAACTACTAATTCTGGAATCAGAAGTTGAGGCAGCTATAACCAAAATGAAAAATGATAGAGCTTGTGGGGTTGATCAGCTTATGGCAGAATTTATAAAACAAATGGGCAAGAATGGGATCAAATGTGTGACTAAAATGTGTATTCCTATACAGTATATTTCAAATGAGACTTTCCCAGTAATTAAAAAAATATATCAATATTTGCATTATTATCTTTTTTTTTCTTTTTACGGGGATGAGCCCACCCAGGCACAGGTCACTGACCCACATCGGGGCCTGGGGGGTGAAAAATTTAATAATAATAATAATAATAATAATAATAATAATAATAATAATAATAATAATAATAATAATAATAATAATAATAATAATGCATAGTAAATAAAATTTATAATAAAAAATACAAAGTTGAAAATAAAATTATAATAATAATAACACTAAAAATAAAAAAATAAAAATAATAATAATAATAATAGTGGGAAACAATATATATGTATGTTGTGTTGTCAATAGTAAGAGAAACAATTGAGACCCTGCAATTGTGTGTAAATGAGGCAGAAAGTCAGATCAGCAACTTGAGACTTGGTCACAATTTTCGTGATGCCATATGGCAGCAGGGTCTACCATTAGACAACACATTATGCTTCCAATATCTTCCCAGGCGGTAGTACCTCCCTGTTTGGTAGCTACCTACTACCTAAAAGCCAGGAGCCTTAGAGTGCATCCAGTTTAGAACAATTAGCTTAATATGCCATGCCTGCAAAGCTATACAGGGTACTTATAATGTCCATGTGTGAGAAAAGGCAAGACATAAACACAAGACACAACTACCACTTAAAGTAGGGGTCCTTCTTTTTATTATGCTGTTAAGAGGTACTATCATAAGATTCTAGGACTGGTCTGTCCTGTGACTTGTTGAGTACTGAGGACTAAGGACTTAATGTTGATAGCAGATGGTATTGATGAGGTAATTGAAAATTTAAGAAATGGAAGGATGAAATGGAGCCAAAAGGTATGAGAGTGAATGTAGTTAAAACAAAATTAATGATTAGTGGCATGGAAAATGGTCATGTGCTGTCTGATAGAAATATAATGGCAGCAATTCAATAATGTGTACAGAATGTGGAAGATAGGTACACAAGTAGTGTAAATTGCAGACTGCAGGATGTTTCTATGTGTTGTATGTACAGGCAACCATGTGGCCTTAGCAAATCTAGAGAATCTAGACATTGTAACTATATCCCTGGACAGTATTGATGGGTTCTTCTACTTGGATGACATGATCAGTGCTGGAGGTGGTGCTGAAGCTTGCTCAGTTGCAAAAGTCAATCATGGCAGGAAGAATTTTAGAGATTTGCTGCCTTCAACGTTTAAAAGACCTTCTCTTCATGTGAAAGGAAAGATGTATGCAATCAATGCGAGACATGTGTTGTTGTATGGCAGTGAAACACGGGCAGGTAAAGAGGATTATTACATACATAGGCTTGAGCGGGCTGAAATGAAAATGGTTACTTGGAAATGTAATGTGACACTGAAAGATAGAAAAGCCTGTTTAGAACCAAGAGGGTGGTATCTACTTGGAAATGTAATGTGACACTGAAAGATAGAAAAGCCTGTTTAGAACCAAGAGGGTGGTATCTAGAGTATTGGCAAAGTTTTTGCAAGGAGGTAGGCTGAAATTGTTTGGGCATATGGAGAGAAAGGATGAGACAAACTGGGTCAAGAGATGTCGAGTTTGAATGAGGAGGAGGAGAGGGGGGCAGGGGGGAATCAGGGTAGACCAAGAATGACATGGGGAGAGGCTGTAAGAAATGACTGGATAAGATCCTAACGAAAGAGGTTACAAGAAACTGTGTAGGTTGGAGAGCTGCCATCAGGTAATCATAGCAAGCATAGAAAATTACTGCAAAACATGTTCAAGTATACTATTCAAGTTTTTAAAACTTGAGAGGCACTGCCAAAGCTCCCACTATATGTAATAAGCCATTAAAATGACTGAAAACATATACAGTACACAGATCCTATCTACAATAACTTATAGAAAAATAGCTTATCTTATAAAGAAATATATAAAATAAAATATTGTAACAGTAATTAAAAATCAATCAAACATGAATAGTATGTCATAAACTAAATCATAAAAATGGGTAGCCTGGGAATACCACTGTAGTGCTAGGTGCTGCAAGAGATGGTCACTGTTGAAATTTACTTAATGTTTTATCTACAGTACAGATCTATGACAGCAGACAAATCAAACTTTACCAAAACATAAAGTACAGAAGAATAACGGACTCAAGTTATTTTTACTTTAAAAATATAATAAATACAAGAGGTGGGAAGTGGTGTTAAGTAGAAAATCACATTGATCAGATTTAAAGTCTGGATTTGAGCCTGTATAGATTAGCCTTGACTTAGGCTATTGTAGTGTAAGTACAGTAGGCCTAAATACAGTATCCAAAAACTGAAATGCATGAAAAAAAATGCAAATGACCCCAAGGTTTTTGGATAAATGTATTCTCGACCTACAGTACAGTATATTATACAGCTAACTCGTGTTTTACGCGAGTTTGATTTAAGTGTTTTTGGAATAACATGACTGTTCAATTAATACCAAAAGCTAATTTACGCGCACCTATTTTTTAAATAATGTGCTCAAAACAGTTTAAATTCTGCGTGCGCATTCACCTGGTTGCCTGGCAGTGGAGTCGTGTGTGATGCCTGGTGAGGTGCTTGTAAGTTATTACTATAAGTCGCAGTCATATCAACATAAACGATTTTGATATAATTACCGGTATTAATAATAATAATAATTATAATAATGTAATAATAAAGATCAATACTACCGTACTAATGATGAAGATAATGAAGTATTTTGTACAACAACTGTGACGACGTCAAGCAAGCTTCCCGCGTAACGCTTTCTCTGTTCACACCAGCACTACTTTTCCTCTGTGCTCTCATTTGCATTGTGTGTTTATCAAGTACCTTTTTAGTGTTAAACGCTGTTTTCCCCATTGAGCACATCTGAAAAACATCCATCTGCCTCCTCTGGGGCGCCTAAAGCTAAAAAGGCACGAAAAACAATCGCAATGGACGTGAAATTAAATATGATCA